ATTATTTGTTGAAACTGTACTTCCAATTTGATTTGAAACTGTCTCATTGCTATCCGTTTATCAATAAAACTTTGAAAAAAAAACAAAAGAAAACTCATGCTGAATAAAAAGAAAAGCTTTTTGTTTTTTTACTAACACAAATTTTATCCTTCAGTTTAGGCAGTTATACAGCATGTAACACATGCTACTTCTGGGCTGTGTGTGTAGGTTAACTCTACTACCATGATAAATTAATGAATTTTTGTGGTATACAGTATCTAAGTTATGTATCTTTTAAGGCTGGGTGGGGGTTGGATGATCTGAGCTGGGTTTGGCTTGAGTGATTCTGCTCTACTCCACAAGTCTCCTATGTTCCTAATAATTGGCACTATTATACTCGCTTGAAAATCTCATGTTATAACTGAGAGCAAGACAGGAAATCCACACTACAATCACTTTTGTAGCCTTAGGTTAGTCATGCCTATTTTGCTCCAATGCTACAAACAGGTCACATGGTTAAGCCCAAAGTCCGGGAGTTTTATGTTGCAAAACTTAAGAAAATCATTCTTAGCTAGTTGTGATGGCATACTCCTGTATTCTTGGCACTCAGAAGGCTGAGGCAGAAGGATTGCCTTGAGTTTGAGGCCAGTTTGGGCTACATGGTGAGTTCAAGGCCACCCTGAACTATACAGTGAGACCCTGTCTTAACAATAATAAAAAAATAAAAGAAAATCATTCTTTCTGAATAACAATGTTACTCAACACAGGGCTTTTGAATGAGTACTAAAATAGCTGACATGTGTCTTCTTTTAAGTGAAAATGAAGGTGATGATGGAGATGCGTGGATACCTTAGGGATTGAAGTCTCATGCTGTTCGTCTTTGGGGACATAGCTAAAGCCCCAACAGGAGAGAAGAGCTGCCGCTTTGATCTGGGCTTCATGAATGTGTGTGTACATATTTAAGGTGGAGGTGACATTGTCATTTCGTCAAATGAAGGATGCCAAGGTTATAGTACTACGTCAGAGGCCTCTATATTGCGGGTTTATGAAAGGTTCCTCCAAGCCATTCACCAAAACAGACTTTCATCCCTACTCACATGAATCAAGTAGCAAGTAAACTTGCAAATGTTGATCTGAACTTACAAGAATAAATAATACCAAATAAGGCACTTCTAGGAAAAAGCTAATATAAAAACACTGTAAGATTGGTTATATGGATTTATGTTGTACTATAAAACTGTTTCTCCTTTTAGAGAAACAATGTATTTATCTCCAACTCTGCCAGCTTTTACTGTAGTACCTCTACTTATATTCATGTCTCCTGATGAAATGACAAAATGTAAGCACAACTCTTACTGTTGGATAAATTGTATTAAATGAAGATAACTGTATGCATAAAGCAACAGTTATGTAATGAATCCAAAGTTTATCACTTGAAAACTAATGAGGCATTAAGGATAATCAAGGACGAGCAATATCAGCTTATTTTTCCATTTATTGAGCTGTATTGGTTGTCTTTTGCTATGTAACAAGATATACCAAGCTTGGTGGTACTAAACAGTAAGTACACTTTCTCTTACAGTATTTTTCAGTTCAAAATTCAGGAAAACATCAAGGGGATGGACCTGCTTCTATTGAAGGAATGGCCCCAAACTCAGCTAAGGTTGCAGGTGTCTGAATATGTGACTGCAGGGTCTGCTTCCAAGATGGCCTAATTACACAGATGGTAAACTGAGTGTTGATGTTGGAAGGCCACAGGTCTTTGACAACTGGAGCTGAATAAACCTGCTTACATGTCAGCATGGCATTAAAATGGACTTCCTGCACAGCCAGTGATCTAAAAAAGATTATGCTGGGAACTCCAGGGTGTTCTATGATGTAGCCTTTGAAGTGACACTCTGACCATTTTGACGGTCTTACTGTCTGTACCAGGGTGAAGCCAGGCAGTTGTACTCAGGATTTTGCAAGTGTGTGACTGTGAGTGTGAATACCTACTTCAACCTTGCACCCCTCCTAAGGGGCTCATTCACCTCACTTGAATCCTGCCCTGGGTTTATACCTCAGTCACATTCATGTCTTAAAGGGTTATAGAGGATATGAATAACAGGAAAGAACCAACTGAAGGTGTTACAATACTCCAAGAGCTAAATATCTAAACTTCTAATCATTGAGCAGAGACTTCCACAAATTCAGCTGTATTCAGCCTTCCCCAAACATATTAATTACCTGAGTGCTGATGTCAGCACTTTGCTTCTTAGAGGCATGGATGATTTTCACTGGGAGTTAAACATCCATGGTACTAAAAAAATACACATTTGAAATATTTTCACGTGTGTTCATGGACAAGTATTCTGTAATTGAACAAAATGTGTCCTTTAGGAACCAAAGTCCACATAGAGTTTTCCTGTCTTTGTGTTTGTCAGCATCATCTATTCTCTCTGGGGCAAAGATCATGAAAGGGTTTGGGGGTCAGTGAGGATCAGTAATTTTTTCATGCATAAACTATTGCTCAACAGGGAGGTCTGGCTAAGCAGATTTCTCTTCTATCACCTATCCATTCTGTGTAGACTGTTTTGTAAAAGAACGGTATCAGTGCTAGTCTAATTTAAAGCTCTTTGTCTAGTTCCAGACAGATCAAAGCAGTCTGCTTGGGTGAACAGGAAAGTCACTAGTTGAAAAGTAAGCTAGTAAGAATTAGATAAATTTCAGACTGTGTTAGGTTTCTTTACACACTTTGGCAGCAGTTTGATGCACTCCCACAAACACAGAGCTGAATCTGAGAATGAAACCTCTCTCAGTTCACCTACTTTAAGAGTCTAATGAGCTCTGGTTATCTATCGGGCTGTGTAGTTACTAGGTAGTTGTCTGTCTGATGCTCCCTCATCCTGGTACTTGTGTCAGGATGGATGAGCAGTATGAAAGAGGACTGGACTTGTGATTCTTGATCAGAGCACTGTTTTTCTTTTCTTCTCCTCCTCCTCCTCCTCCACTTCCCCCCTTTCTCTATCTTTCTTCTTTTCTTTTAAAATGTATTCTATAGGGTCAGACTGTGCAGCTCAGGCTTGTAGTGATTCCCCTGTTTTCAGCCTCCCCAGCACTGGGATTACAGGCATGTACCACCATGCCCAGACTCAGCTGCTGGCTCAGAGCTCACCAGAGAATGGGGCCAGTGCAACTTGTAGGACCTGTTTTTTCTCTTTCTTTCTTTCTTTCTTTCTTTCTTTCTTTCTTTCTTTCTTTCTTTCTTTCTTTCTTTCTTTCTTTCTTTCTTGAATTTTTTTTCCCCAGAACTGGGGATTGAACTCAGGCCCTTACACTTGCCAGGGAAGCACTTATTCCACTGAGCCATCTCCTCACCCCCTGTTTTTTCTTAAATGAAAATAAACACCAAAATTTTAGGGTGAAGACTGGCTGCACCTTATTATGTGGAACTCTTCCTAGAACTGTTACCTTTTCTGCTTTGTTATGGTTTGTGTCTGGTTGTCCCCCCAGAGGCTCATACAGTTATGGGGTGGCTTCTAGAGTTTGTGATTAATTCATGATCCAGTGCTGGGATTATGGGTGTCAGTGCTCCTGGGATTATGAGTACTACACATGGCCTGGGACAGATAGCCTGAATGCAACATAAGGGAGACAGACTTTCTGTTGCTATTGCTGCCGCTACTCCTCCCTTTTGCTTTTGCTCTGTTATGGTCTTTTGCCACCAAGAACTGCTGCCCTCTGCCTCGGAGCCAGCCAAGTGGAGGACCTTGTTGTGATGGCTTTTCTAATGAGAATCTTTGGTCCTCATCTTGAGCATTGCTTCCTGGCTCTGGAAGGGAAGATGATGCACCGCTCAGCCTTGTGGAGAAGCTTATTGTCTTGGCTTTTCTGATGGGAACTCGGCTTTCCTCATTGCTGGAGGAGCTTGGGACCTCACTGTTACTGAGGATGGCTGTGGTGCTTTTGGGGGAGCTCTGGTGCTTACCTTGAGCACTGCTTCCTGGCTTCAGCTCAGATCCCTCAGCTTTCCAGCTGCACAGACCTCCCAGCTTCCACCAGTGACCTTTGGGCCTTCCCAGCACAGATCCATGAAGCAGGCCTGCGTGAGACTTTATTGTGGGCTCTAGGCCTCCACTTGGACTTGGGGGAGGCATTGTTACGGACTCTCAGTTTCCAGCTGGCTTCATGCAAGATACTAGGATTTAAGCCCTCAGCTGAAGTCTTTAGTGCTTATGTGTGTGGACTGAATTTCTGCACTTCTTGCATATGACTCTTGGGTGATTCATTATAAAATACCATTATAAAATGTGTTCTGTTTTATATTCTTCCCCTTGCAAAAACCCCAAACCACAATATTCTTCTTTTAATTTTCTTCGGCAAAGCCACAAAAGTTGAGATTGCTATGATTCTGGCAAATGGTTTAGGATGTTGGGATGTATCCAAATGAAGACAGTCTGGCTTAAGCTCATGTTTGAAATCAGTGTTTTCTCCTCAATCAGAGAATTAAAACAAAAAAATGGAAACACTTCAATTATTTTTTAATGACAGAAACTTAAAGTTCACCTTTTACATACTCAAGATAATTCCTACATGCAGAATGAGAGCACTGCTATGTCCTTTCACTCTGATTTAAATTTCAGGCAAATGTGGATGAAAAATGGAGTTGCTTGGAAAACTAGTCATTCAATTCTGGTCTGAACGTCAGCTGAAGCACAGGTTTGGCTGGAGGGTGATGACATTACCAGGTGCAGTGTCTACCTTTTCATTAGGATTCCAGCAGAGCTCCGCTGCATGCTAAGATCTCCAAGGACTGTAGGGTCTCCATCTCATGGCAAGGCAGGTCACTTCCCATGGGCTCGTGAATGCATGTATACTCGATGGGAGGTGGCGGTGGCTTGAAAGGTGGGGGTCTTTCCATGCTAGAAAGAAAATAATGCTTTTTCAATGCTAAGAATGTGAGATGGAATTTTGTAAAATTAAAAGACAGGTTGATGAAAAAAGATGCACTTTTTCTCACCGGCATTGGGGTTGAGCCCAAGGCTTTAGCAAAACTGCCAGTTGCCCAGGATGAGCTACAACTCATGACACTCCTGCTCAGCCTCCCAGAATGCAGGGATAACAGGCATGGGTCACCAAGCCAAACAAGATATACCTTCTTCCTTTCCTCAGAAGCTAAGAAATTTTGTGGGCTTCCTTCTGTCCTTGTTAGTCCTATCAGCCATTTGAACACTACAACCACGGTATAGAATTTTATATTTTGCCAAATAACTCTAGCTTAATATCACTTATTATGTATCTAAGAATTTGATATTATTGTTGTCATTCTACAGATAAAACTGAGGCTCAGAGGTCTTAGGAAATTTACTCAAGAGAGTCAGATGATCAATCACAGTCTTTTAACCAGAAGCTATCTATCCTCTGCATGACAACTGCCTCCTAATCAATAAATAAAGTTTTTCTCTTATGTGACTTGAAACAATCCTCCAAAGACAAAAGTCTTAAAAGTCAGAGACTTAAGACTGAAATACCTCAACGAGTCCCTCTGGCACCCTACTCTCAGGTTATGCTCAGGCATTCATATGTCTGTGGACTTGGCAGAGGTTGTAAGTGGAGCTCTTCTGGATCTGAGTTCATTGGTATTGGCTGGGTAGGGTCAGAATCTCTCTCATGTCATGAATGTTCTGCAGGTTGCCCCTGTACCAGGTGCCATTTAGCACCATTCCTTTCTGCCTGACCTGCATCAGTCATCCAGGTTAGTGTAAGATTTAGCTGTGCAAATGCTCCAGCTATTTTGATAGCAGACAATAGAGCTATATATATTTCAGCACGTTTACTGGCTCAGTCCATGCTGCCCTAGTGATCAACAGCATCTTAGAGAGACAGAGAAGGCCATAAAAGAAGGTCGAAATCTATGTATTATAGACATTTAAATAGATAATAAAAAAGTTAATTCATATTTTCAAAATTCTGTTTTCTGTGTAATTTAAAAAAATCACTTAATCCTTAACTACATGTTTTTGGATGTTTTAATAGAGGCTTAAAGTATGTCAAAAGGACAATACAATTGTGTGAATCTTGTACTTCTTTCAGAGAAACAGTGAATTTCTTAACTTCGTGTCGTGACCAAAATGAAAATCTCAGCCAACTTAGAATTTTTAACTAACCATAAAACATTTGTGGACTTTCTTCTGTCTTTGTTAGTCCTACTAGCCATTTGAACACTACAGTCACAGTGTTAATATATCTATGTATCTATCTATCTCTCTATATATTTTTAATGTATTTGGTACAGGGTCTCACTATGCAGGTCGGACTTGCAGTGATCCTCCTGTTTTCAGGGTCCCCAGTGCTGAGATTATAGGCATGCCCCACCATGCCCAGACTTGGTTGCAGGCTCAGCACATCCTGGGGGCAGGGCTGGCACAGCATGTGTGATCGGGAATTGAACCCTGGTCCCTGCACTTGCCAAAGCAGGTGATTAGTCTGCTGAGGTATCTCTCTGGGCTTTAAAAAAATGATTTATTTATTTATCTATTTATTTATTTGGTACAGGGTCTCACTATGCAGCTCAGACACACAGTGATCAATTAATATTTATATAGAATTTTATGTTTTTCTAAGTAATTTTAGCTTGATATCAATTATCGTGTATCTAAGGCTTTGATATTCAGAACCTGCATGTGGTTACAGAGCCTTCAAGGATGCTTTGTGGGAAAAAGAAGAGGATGTTGTCATGGCAAGTTTGGCATCAGATAGCCATACTCAGCACAAGGAGGGTCAGCTCTGTATTTTATGGGGTCTCCTGTAACTATGGCCGAATCCAGACTCATCTAAAATAGTTGATTCAGAAAAGAGAAGCTTAACCTTAATGCCACTTCAGACTGCTAAGTGGAAAACAGTTCTGGAAAATGTTTCAATAAAACAGAAATGGGGAAACCCAAGCAACATTTCTTCCCCTTAGGGAAAAAGGAAAAGGGCAGTAACAGCCCACTCTGATAAAAAGCAGCTGGAAATCTCTTAAAATTACCTTTCTCACTCAATTTCACAGTTGAGCATCTGGGCCCAGCTGAACCTGAGCAGTTCAAAGATGCATGAAAATGGAAAAATAATGAAGATTAAAAGAAAAATCAGTTTCAGTTTTGAGGTGAAGTGAGGCTCAGTTCCCATTTCATGCCCAATGACTTGTCCCATCTGATGAGCGTTACTGTCTGAGGAAGCCAACGCAAAGAGAGGTGCTGAGGCAGGAGATGTGCATTGGTATGGATTGGGTCAGTGTTTGGAAATGGATAGCTTCTCTGAGCAATGAGCCTTTTGTGCTAATTAATACATGAGAAGAACACTATATGGTGGCAATATGTTTTTTTTTGTGGAGGAAATATTTTGTAAGGAGAAAGATCAGTTCCTACACATCTCCACGCTGTACTCACATTTCTCTTAGATACTGACACCATTTTCTCAGTCCAAGACCAAATAGTACCACACAGAAGGCGAGCAGAGCTGCTACCATTACCGGCCACGACATTCCATCTTTGGTCTTTTGGACTGCAATATCTGAAAAGGGCATATAGAGAGGTGAACTTTAGTGTCAAACTTTGGCATCTGGAAAAGAGGAACAGATTATTTCTCTAGGGTTGAGTGCATGGCTGAGTGGTTGTACATTTACTTAATTATACCCATGGCCTCAGGATTATGCCTAGAACAACACAAAGTAAAAACCAAACCAAAATATGTTCCTAATGCTCAAAGCATGCTTTCTTTCCAAAGTGTCAGGAAGGTGTTCATTGTCTATGGTCATAGTTTGAAGATGTACTTATGAATTGTTACACAAGACACAGTAACTTGATTATGTATCTTGCCAACAATTTTCTATGACTATATAAGCACATATGTATATTATGAATATATATCCCTTTTGTTACAAGTAGACATACATTACTCTGTCCTTCAACCCCCCTTTTTTGGTACCAGATGTCAAATTTATGATGTTACCTTTGCCAGGCATCTAACCCTTTTTTCTTGAAAAAAATTTAAAACCTTTCCCATACCCATGTTTAGAGATTTATTTTAATTTTTAGAGATTGGTTAATTCCCCAATTCTACTATAATTTATGTAATTGATTTCTTAATATTAGTGGTTAAATTAATGCTAAATTTTGTTATTTTTAGAAACATTGTAATGAAAATTCCTATGGATTACGGTATAGTATATATTTGGCTATTCACATTAAGCAGATCATTTACATAAAAAATTATCTATGTTGGCTTTTCTCATTGTTTTAACAAGACAGTAAACTGTTCATAGTTATATTGCTCCATTATTACTGATTTTCATGAAGAAAAGTCTCAAAAAATTAGAGGCTGAAAACTTGGATCTAAAAATACTAGTTTTTAAGTCTTTCCTGTCTTACATAGTTTGGATTTCAGCCACATATTATCATGTCAGAGTACAGTATGAATGCTGAAGGTTTTCCTTTTCATATAATGCCTATGCAAAGATTTGAGATCTTTCTATTTGAGATCTTTCACCCTACTTCAGCCCTGTCAAAGGAGACACTGAGGGTACACTGGAAGCTGAGATAGTCTATACCACATGGTGCATCTTCTATAAGGTGGCTGGATAATCCACAATGCAAACTGCTAGCGTGCTAACCACAAAAGAAGCCATACAGATTGTGAATTCAGTAAAAGGTGAAAGATTTATATGATCTGAAGAGAAACCAGAGTATAGATTGTGAATTCAGGAATTAGGGGAGTTCTGCTCAAATCAAAGTTTACTAGGCTGTACACTCATAAGATGGTGAGCTTTACCATTTGGCCTTCCATGGTTAGAGAAATCACAGTGCAAAGGGTTTTAATAAGCATTACATCAATGCCTACAAACTATATTCCAAATATAGTTGAGACCCTTACCTCAGAATGTCATAGTGGAGAAGTAGACTCCAATCTTGCTAAGCACTTCTAAGCTAAGCTAAGCTAAGCAAAGCACTTCTTCAGGGCATCAGTATTCTTAAAGACATGGGAAGCACCTTAATTTGAGGCTAAATTGTCATGATATATGCAGGATGATGCTTTAGTGATCTGAATTAATTAAGGTCATGTGGATCTCCATGTGGTGATTTCACCAATCAAGTGAAGCACCCCCACCACAGACAACTTGGAAGTGAGAGTTAGTTACACCAGTGAATTTATAGATCTGAGCTACCTTGAGATGGTTCCAACATTACTGAATCCCTTGGTCTCTTGTGATATAAAATAAAGGCATAAATTTTGCACAGAGAACATTTTATTAGTTGAATTACAGAAGTACTCTTTGTTTGAACAATTTCTTTCTTCTCTTATGCTATATTTTCATAGACTTGAAATGATTTTTGCTCTTTTTTTTTCCTCAGTGCCAGGAATTGAATCCAAGGACTCATGCATGCTAAGCAAATACTCTCCCATGGGCAGCATTCCCAGTCCTCTTGCTAGTTTTCACCTGGCTAGTTTTTTTTTTAAGATTTAATTTAAATATCTACTCTCAGAGCATTTTCTGTCTCAGTTAGAATTAGGTCTTTTTGTTAGATTGTGACATTTTAGCATAATGCTTCTGGCAAATTGTATGATTATTTATTTGCTATGCCTTATCTCTAGTAGATTACAATCTTCAGGAGCCCATTGTTATTTATGTACCCAAAAATTGGCAAAATATTCAACTTTTTTTTTTTTTTTTTTTTTTTTTTTGTGGAACCGGGGATTGAGCTCAGGCCCTTGCGCTTGTTAGGCAAGCACTTATTCTATTGAGCTATCTCCCTGACCCCTCAACAAATACTTATTGAGTAACCAAAACATAAAATTCAAAAATGTGGCAAATGACTCACCAGTGATATACACTGTATTATTTTTATTCAGTCTCATAGCAGTTGTGAGGATTTCTGAAAAGCCTCCCAATGTGCTGGTGATGATGTCACCTAGGGATATAAAAGGAAATTTATGGATTGAAGTGAGTAGCCATCTCAGTCTGATCAAGTGTATAAAGGCATGATTGAGTTTCACATACTATTGAGCAAAGCTCAATAGGTATGGCCTGACTGTCCCTAAAACATTATATGTAAAGCTTACTAAGGACCAATTTATAGCAAGGCTAGGGTCCTAGGATTTGTCTAATAGCTACCAAATGAGTGAAATTTCCTACTGGTCTAATGAAAAGAAGAAAAACTGAACATTTTCAAATAAGAAAAAAATAACTGCTAAAAATCTACATGAGAAATTTAAGTGGTATGGAAAACTGCCATAAGTGATGTCATGGAGAGAGGAAGCCCTGTCTGTGTTCTTTCAGGGTAACAAGAATTCAGCTGCTTAGAATGCTGACTTTATCCATTCTAATGTGTTTATAAGGTCAATAAAAATTCCTTACAAATCCATGCTGAATAATTATTCCATTCCCAATGGAAAAATTAAAAATTCAAAGACATTCTTCATGGTTATAGCTGGCCACAAAATGCTATTTGCAGATTTCCCTTTGAAATAAAAAAGTTTAAGGCTTTGGTTTTTCTACTTTCTTTGACTGGGAGAAATCTTGATTCTGTTTATTGTTGTTTTCATCATCAAGATGCACTTTTAAGTATCTATCTCATGTTGTTCTTTTTCAGCTCTTGTTTTTCTTCCCTTTCCAAAATAAAGTAGACCGCAACCTTCTGTGTGCCTAAATCTTCCCCATGTACTCACCATGAAGAGATGAGCCTGTACCCAAGGTAGATGAGCTGTATGATTCACTGGGTATCCATGAAACCACTAAGGGTAGAATACATTGGAAGAGTTAATCATCTAGAGGACTAGTTACCTATTTTCTCTTTTTCACCATTCTTATTAGATCTAGTTATTGGATTAATAATATCCCTTAGTTATTGTGGACTTATCAGTTCCACAATTTCACAAACAAGGCTAAACAGAAAGAGTCAAATGGAATGATTTCAGGGCTCCAGGAAGGCCAAAGCCAGATTTTCTCTGGGCTAAGATCAAGACCTTCTCTGGGTGGTCTGTATTTATTTAGTTATCAGAAGGAAGGAGGGGAGTACTCAAGAAGGGCGAAATACTCAAGGACTTCTCCAAGTAAGGTATTAAGTTTACCCACTCAGGAGTGAGATGCCTGTGGCTAGTCTTTATCTAGCTGAGGTTGGATCTAGGTATTCTTAGATGTGACCTTGTCTTATCCTTTGAGGCTTTGCAGCTTCACACACCATTACAGGTCTCAGTAGGGATTAGTGTCTCAAGAGGTCCACTTATTATGAATCTGCTGCCTATCTCCAGGCAGGTGGCCTAGACATTGGACAGACTCACAAGTAGACACAAAAAACATTGGTTAGTTTTAGTCCTACTCAGGGCTGCTTTGTAGTAGTCTTCATCATCTAATAATTATGGGAGGGAAAGTATTTTAATGAGTACTTAAAGCAATAATATTGAACTGCCCAGCAGTATACCTTAGCTCATCCTAGAAAAGTGAGAAGTTAGGGTTACTAGCAGTTCAGATGTCTCTAACCTGGGAAAGTTTTGCTCATAGTCATTACTATGGTTTGAAGTTTTCACCTTTAAAACCCAGGAGTTGCCAGCATCACAGTGTTAAGAGGTGGAACATCTATGGGGTGACTCAGACATAAGAGCTCCTCTTCTCACGGATGAGATTAAGGTCTAGATAAAAGAGGTAGAGCTCAGCCTTGCCTGTCTATCCTCGACCATGTGTGGACACAGCGAGGCTTTAACCAGATCCAGATATCTAGACTTTCAGAGCTATGAAAAAATTTTTTTCTCTTCTTTATAAATTACTTTATCTGTTAGTTTAGTTTTGTCTGCACCAATGGACTAAAATGGTCATTTGGAAATTGGAAAAAGGATCAGAAAGCAAACACTAGTCATGGAGAATTTATCCTCACTGTTCTCATTCACATCCATGAATGACCAAGAAGGAATGAGAATGAATGAAAGTGCAGGTGTGTTAGGGTGGACTACAGTCAGGAAAAGGCGCCAATGGGACTTTGAAGACCTTGGTGGATCACACGTCAGGGAACAAAGTATTTTGTGTTTGTAGCCTAGCTGACTGTAGACACATCTGTGTCAGTAGAGAGTTGTAGATTGCTTTAGTGACAGGTCGTATTAGCTCTTCAGTGAGCACCTTTAAGGCTTTCAGAAGCTAATTTTTCTCTTGAGTAGATGACAGCAAACTTGGTTAGTACACAGAGTTGCATTCATTTTGTTTATTGCCTGCTCCTTTCCTGGAAAGAAAGATCCATGTCTTCGTACCACCTGCATTTGATAGCAGGTCTCCAACATAGTGTAAAGTGAAATGCTACAGCAGTGCATGGTTGCAATCAGTAGAAATGTGTTATACTCACTTATTTAAAACAGTAGAGTGTATAAGGTTCCCAGTTAAGTGTTTATGTGTCAAGACAAAAATAATGAAGAAAATCAAAACAAATATTTATAATACTTTTAATCTACCCCACACTCTTGTTTGTAGCTAGATGTCAACAGCAGCTGCAACAGTCGACAAATGAATGATCAAAGAGGTATAAATTGATGGTTTTAGGGATTTCTCAGAAGACAATTTGTTGTCCTCTGACCATATTATGAATAGGTCAAGGAAATGTTCTTTCCTTCAGTTTAATTATCTTACCCTGCATATGTACTCTTGACTAATTTTTCTTCTAGACAGAGTACCAAGGTTTATAGATGATAATGAAATAGATACTTTATTTGATGAAATCACTACCCAGGAATTTAACTGACAAAGAGCAATAACTTATTATAAAACAATCATCATTATGCCTGAATTAAGGAAAAACAATGAAGAAGGCCATTAGTTCTGGATACAATTAAAGGGTTTTGTTAAATTTGGTATTTCCAATGTCTAACTTTCAGAGCTTGATGTCTTTTATTTAGCATCTCTTAAAAATATGTGTTTACGAAAAGATAAGGTTAAAAATGGTTGAAAAGTATAACTCCTATTAGGGATATAGGCATTTAAAACAAGATATATTTCACTTTATTATCAGTGAATCATCAAAGAGCATTTTGTAACAATTAGTAGCACATGGGTACCATTATTTTTTTCACCTAACAAAGTGGCTTTGGACAATATGGATTTTCTCTGTGCAAAACAACTAGACAAAACATGATTTCAAGTCATCATGATCAACACAATCCATTCAAATAGTAAAAATAGGAATAATTAAATCTGTGCCAATTATTTGACCATTTCATAAAAATTCTTTTTAGACTTCTACAATCTTTTCCAGCATTGAAAAATTCCTCAGTATTACATACATTATAGTTAAATACAAAACCTCCATTTGAAAAGTAGGAAGCTGTTTTTTTACTTTTGTCTTTAAGAGTTGTTGATTCATATGTGATAAAAATTTTAGAGAGGAAAAAAAAATTTTAGAGAGGATTGTGACAGTCTGAGAGGGGTGAAGAAAAAGGAGCTTACATTTGATGGATCCAACAAGTTTGAAGATACTTAAGCATTATAAAAGAGAAACTTCAAGACCAGAAACATAAGTCAGAGTTTTCCACAAGATGAATTGTTGAACAGTAATTGTATCTCATGCTCCCACAAGGAAGAGTTCTTCATGAAGAAAACTTGTTTATAGAAGCTTCTGTGAGATAAAAGTGGCTGAAGTAAGAGGGTCACAAGTCTGAGCCCATTCCGGGCAACTTAGTGAGTTGGAGTCTTTGTTTCAAAGAAAAAAAAAATTGAAAAGGGTCTGGGGATATAACTCAGCCAAAGGCACTAGGATTAATCTCTAGTACCAGAAAGAAAGGATGGAGGTGGGGGAGAAGTCACTTGTTTCCTCCAGCTATTGATTTTTCAATAAAACAATACTTTTCTGAGAGCTCATGCACGCCTATCACTTAGGTATTTAACCCTTAGGATGTACTGGCTACTCCATTTGGCATTTTTATGTCTCCTTTGGACTCTTTCAGCAGAATTGTGTTGCGGTTGTCCTTTAGTTGTCTGAGATGGTCTGTGTTCTTGAAGGAATCATCAAGTTTGTTACATATGAGTTAATCCTTCTTTAAATATTGTGAACATCCATTTTCATCAAAATCAATGAATGAACATCACGGTGACATTTGGATGGTAAATACCACCTTTACTGATAAACCAATATCACCCAAAATAGAAACACAGGGATACTGCATTGCAGGAACTTCTCAAGCAAATTGTTACATCCTTTTCTGAGCATAATATAAGCTCTGTAAAAATTGCTTTAAATTTAGTTCTTGGTAAAGCTTATCCATCAGAGAAGGCTACTTCTCATCTATGGTGAAAACAGTATCAATTTCATAGCATAGTATCTTTCCTTTAGCTGAAATAACTCTTTGACATTAATCTATGACCAGTTTATAGTTGTCAGTGACATTATGTCATGTTAGAGACTTTTTCCATTTGTAGGAAAATCTACTTTGAGTCATCAAAGTCCTTATTTCTGTGAAGTTTGACAGTTACTTTGATAAAACTACAGATGATTTCCGTTACATTCACATGATTCTGGAGGTGAACAGAACTCTTGTTGAGTCGGAGCATCTTTTTCACAAATTTGTAGACTTCTGATGAATCAGTTTTTGTCCAGTCTTTTAAAGTCATCTTGAAGTCCTTGCTTTTGTCCCAGAGCAATGACAGAGGTGGCAACAATGTCCAGATATGCAGCGCCTGCCTGCATGGCTTTCCATGATCTTGGGCTTCTGTTTTGACTTCCTCTTCAAGGAGAATATGTCCTGTGGCAGCACCACTCTTGCTGCCAGGGTGCACACACTGGGGCTAGCTACTCTGCCCATCCTTGGCATTGTCTCCCAGTGTATGGATAAGGCCCTTATATTCCTCTCAATCAAAAGATAGTGACACTCAAACCTCTGAACTATCCTTCTGAATAAGGAAATTACAAGGGTTGATATGAAATCATTGGGCTCAGCTATCAAGAAGCTGGACAGAACTATCCAGGACATAGAGTGAGAGATGGATACATTGATAAGATTTAAGAGAAAGGGCATATAAGTTTTGAAAGCATAAGGAATTCATGGTCAAAGGACATAATAAAGTCCCTCTCTGAAGTTAGTAAGGAACACTGTGAAGGGGTGTGTGTGTGTGTGTGTGTGTGTGTGTGTGTGTGTGAGATAAGTGTATCTTTGGTATTCGCATTGATGGTGAGCCTGAGCTTGCTGATTTGGGTGATGAAATGGGTTGGAAGCAGAAGGGCCAGAGGATCACAACATTCTCTTGTTGTCTGATTTAGGCATATTGACTGGTTTCAATGAAGCTTTCACATTCACTGGAGCACAGTGATGGCAAGGGAAATCAGAAAAGAAAAAAAACAACAACTAAAAAAACCCCCTAAGTTTTTCTACTTCATGACTTTGTCACCTGAGTTTTAGGGTAGAAGGATGTATAGATATTAACTATATATAATAGCATATATGTGGCATGAAGATGGTTAGATTGCATAGTCTCATTTTTAAGTAGTTAAAATATGTATTTCTGGTACAAATCATAGGGAAGTTTGAAGGTGAATTAGCATCATATTTCAAATATTCTTGAATCCTGTTCAAGTTTATAAGCAAAATGATAATAAAAGACTATATTAAAACATAATGTAGTTAAATGCAATATACTCAGACCACTGTAGTGGCATCTAAACATATATGAGCTCCATGAAATTTATGCAAGAGTAAAATATCCCACCGAGTATGTTCACATACAGCAAAGGCCCCAGAAATGCTGGAAATGCAGCCATTATCAT